CGAACTAGCCAGCTGCACCCAACCCATCAGCTGACTGAAGATGTGTAAGTGAACCTAGCCAAGACCAGCTGATTCTGACTCACAAATGAAAAGATGCAGCTGAGCCCAGCTTAAACTGTCATCCTGCAGAATAATAGGCTAAATAGATGGTGGCTGTTTTACTTTTTAAAAACTAAATTCAAGGTGATATTTGGCTGAGCAGGAGATAACTGATACACCATCTACAGTTTTTTACTGTTTATAGAATATTAACTTTATCACTGAAGAAATGATATATACATGACCATCACTGTGGGAAAAACAGATCATCCCTGTCAGCACTTGTTCAGTGACAGTTATTCTGCAGGTTGGCCTTTTCTCCTGACTGTGCTAAAACTAGCTGAAAGGACGTGTCACACAGAACAGCAATGAATATGTAACCTTAACAATCTATACAAAATTTAAAGACTGAATCCAGAAGCATACTATATATTTATTCCTTAACTGTCCCAGAGAAAATGATTTTAAGATTCCTTAAGACCTCCATATTAACAGTTGTAAGAAATGATGTGGATATTTTTAACCTAGCAACTTACTAGGGTTAAATATGGTACAAAAAATCTTTAGCAATCCAAAATCCTACCTTTGCAGAAATGTTCAGCATCCCACAGAAATGACCATTTAAATAAATAAATGGAGTGTCACAAAAGAAATAGCAAACTAAATACTATCAAATAAGCTTGAAGATTATCATACTATGTTTAACATGCTGTGATTTGTTTGGCTTGCACCATAACAGGCTACTAATATATAACATTGTATAAGATCATATGGTACATATTATATATGATAGGAGATAAATCTTTTCAAGAAAAAGTTGAGAAACATAATGATTAATAATTGTTGGCCTTGGTCCCTGGTTCCTAAAAGGGAACCTCTAACCCACTGATGGTGAACTTTTCAGAGACCGAGTGCCAAACTACAACCCAAAACCCATTTATCGCAAAGTGCCAATGCTGCAATTAAACCTGAATACTGAGGGTTTAGAAAAACACAACTCATATATTAATATCTTTTGTCTTAAAAGACAAACATACTAACATGTGTGCCATAGGTTCACCACCACTGCTCCAAACCCTGGAACTTTCTAAGTGATACTGTCTTCATTATTCATGGTGCGTCCCTTTGACCACACCTGAGTTAATGCTAACAGATGACTCACTGTGGGCTCCTAGGTTAGTATGAGAAGGAGAGCTGGCCAAGCTGGAAAGATGAACCATGGGATTGGAGGGTTTGGCCTTTGTGGTACTGTTACAGGATATCAGACTGAGCTCCCAACCTCCCAGGTCTGGGATGAGAGAGAAGGGATTTAAGAATGAGTTCAAATTCAGGTGCACAAGGCTTCTGAAGGGAATGATGGAAAGAGCCTAAGAATGATTGTGAAGTCCCAAATGGTAGTCTGTGAGTGACATGAGGAAAATGACATTTTAGGATGAATCATCTGTCATTTTTATTGGCAGTTAAAAATAAGTAGCTCACAAACACTTGCACATTTACCAAACTTGGAATTCCAAAATGCCAGCAGAGGACAATTAAGCATCCTGGTGGAGAAGAGGTTCTGCTGGAACAAGCTGGTATAGATGCAAGTGAAAGCTTTGAAGATGTAGGCCATTTCTCTGATGCCAGAGAAATGCTAAAGCAATACTATATTGGGGATATCCATCCAAATGATCTTAAATCTCAAAGTGGTAGCAAGGATCCTTCGAAAAATAAATCATGCAAAAGTTGCTGGTCATATTGGATTTGCCCCATTATGAGCGCTGTTCTCTTAGGTTTCCTGTATCATTACTACACAGAGGAAAGCAAATCCTCCTGAGGAGACCTTGTTGAAGTCTGGGAAACACATCCATGTGGGAGTGAAAGTTGAAAAGACTTGCTTTGGGGCTGCAGCAGTGTCCCTGGAATCTTGCCAATTGTATTGTCCCCTCCTTGGAACCAAGACGGTTGACCAGATGCCCACCTCCAATCTGGGACTGGTGTCCTTCCTCTCTCAGAGCCTTACTCCCAGAGCAGCTGCTCATTGTTGTGTCCCGGCCACTATTTCTTCTCATCACTGGTTTCCACAAGCACCCTTAAACTTCACAAGTTTATGTTGCTGATTGCAGTTCACACATTGTAGTAACATTGCTCTAAGGGAAAAATGCCCGCTTTCTGATTCTTTGAATGCACATTAGAGTTTCCTATCAGGGTAGCACTCTGGTTTTTGAAATTTTTCTTTTTTCATTTTTAAAAAATCTTTTAAAAATTCTTATTTGATTCTGTTATTTACCTTAAGGGGTTTCAGATGTGAAGTCAAAATGCACACTTATTATTTACAACATGGCTGCCAAATGACCTTGTTCCCTATTTATGTTTAAAACTAGAGAGAACTATGCGGTCATCTCCCTTCCAGGCTAGTGTAGCTGGTAGCACTTCCCACCTCCTCAGTCCAGCCCCTTTTTTTCCCAAGAAGTGCTGGACAAAACTGTGCTTTCTTGGGGGTGGGATCAGTCAACAAAAGAAAGGAATGGGTTGGGTGGGGTAATTAAACCCTGACAAATTAAGAGTCATCTTTCTTGGGGCCGGGGATTTAGCTCACTGGTTCCGGCACCTGCCTCGCAAGTGTAAGGTCCTGAGTTCTATCCCCAGTACCAAAAAATAATAATAATAATAATCTTTCTTTTGAAAAATATTTTTAAAATACTTCTTTAGGGCAGGAGTTTAGAAAAGGCACCAAAACCTTTTCTTTTGTTTGGTACCACCTTCTAACTCTCTCTCTCTCTCTCTGTCCCCTCTCCTATTGGTAAAAATATGAATGAATAATTATGTCTACAGAGCTTTACCAAGGATTCTTAACACTTTGTATATTGATTAGCAAAATTTTGATTCCTCATTTTACAAAAGCAAGAGACTCAGTGAAATAATTTCCATATAAAATATTATTTGAAAATTAAAGATCATGACAAGAGACTGCTTTCCATTCCATCTGTATTTTTACTTTCATGGCTCCAACTTGTGTGACTCAAAATAAACAATAATAATTTTAAAAAGTGGTAGGGTTTGTTATTTTCTTTTGGACTTGTATGTTCGTCTCAGTGAAAAGTAGGTTATATAAAACCATGTTGCTGGCATTTCTGTGGCATCTTTGATTTTATTTTTTTCCTCAGGGAAGCACCTGGATCTACTGGCTGTTTTCTGCCAGTAGCTCTGATTTTTTTTTTCCCTGTCCTGTGAGGATTACCTGTCTGCTTCTGGGCCGTGGTCGTTATCCAGTAGGGAACAGCTGGGTTCAAGTGCCACAGACCCTGCTCGGTATCAAGCTTGCCAGGGACTGACAAGACAGGAAACTGTCCAGCAAACCACAGCCTGCCCATGCAGACTTTTAAGAAAAAGTTTAAACCAGGCCTTGTATCCTGTGCTTTACAGTTGATTGAATTCTGAATTCATCAAGGTAATACTAAGCTTTTCTTTACATACTTGGAGTGACTTCTGGCTGATTTTTATATATCAGTTACGGTTTAATCTAGTATCTTTAGAAAATGTTTACAAAATGATAAGATGCTACTTTAAGAAAATGGAATGAATAAATGATTATTACATAGCAAAAAAAAGAGAATGAGTTCAAATTCTATAGCCAGGGAATCACACAACCATGCCTACACCTTGAGGGCCCAGTACAAACTCTGGACACCCAAGAGGCAACCAACTGATGTGCCAAGAGGGCAAAGAACTCTGGGGACATGGAGGCTTTCCTGTGAGACCCTCCTAGACCTCATCCTACTCATCTCTTTATCTGGCTGGTCCTGATAGGTGTCCTTTATAATAATACTGTAATCATAAGTACAGTACTTTCCTGAGTTCAGTGAGTTGTTCCAGTGAATCATCAAACTTGAGAACTTGTTGCTAGCTAGTCACAAGTGTGAGTGGCTTGGGAACCCAAATTATGGCTAGAGTTTAAGGTGAAGGGAGTCTATGGTGGAGGACTGTGCCTGTACCTGTGGAATGTGATCTAACCCCACAGAGAGTTAGAACTGCACAGCACATCTCAAAAGCAACTGAATACCAAAGACAAAAAAGCAGAGAGAAAATAAAGCCAGCAGACAGCAGAAGTACTAGTCAGAGTTATGAATAGTCACAGTAGCTGTCATTCGTGGAGTCAAAAAAGAAAAAAAAAGACAGCAAAGGCAACAGAGAAAACTCACTGAACAATTGCCAGAGAAAACTCATTGAACAATTGCCGGCTACATGTAAAACACTGTGCTAGGCATTAATATCATGGTAAATAAGGATCATGGCCCCTGCTCCTGAAGGTTACATTCTACAAGGGAAGAGGAATATTAAAAGTTGTGGCATCACTTATATTGTAGCTAAACAAGGGTCTGATGACAGAGCTATACTATAGATTAGTAATAAGCTAAGTATTAGACCTAAGACCTATTCACCTTCATCTCCATTTGCAAATGTATTAAATTTAATATTACACACATTACCAAGTACAGAATAATGTACATTTTAAAGGGGTTTCATCAGTAACAAAAAAACCTCAGATTAAATCCTTATTTTTATCCACTGTAGCACATTCCTACTATGTACCTGATGTTTAAATATTTACAATATTCATTTCCCCAATTCAAGCTCACTGTAATACACAATTACAACTCCCACCCAAATCTGAAAGTTATTTGCTTCTTCCAACCTAATAAGACTATTTTTAACTTGTAAAACAAATATAATGTACAAATCTCCAGATGTGACACCCTAGGCAAGAAAAAAGATTTTAGATACTTAATTTCATCAAACTGCAGCGGTCAAATTCAGTTTCTACTAAATGCTACATTTTTAAAAAAATTGGTTGAGTTTCTCCAGTTACTATGATCAGTTTTTAAATTTTTAGAAATGATGGTTCTGAAGTTGTTTTAAATATAAAATTCTCTAAAAACTCTTCCTAAACAGTTGTCAGTTAGACAACTAGCGTCTCTTACCTGTAGCCATCTAGCTGTACCAGAAACCGCACAATATCGTGGTGCGCTTTCAGCACGAGCAGTTCCGTGTAGGGGTTCCGGGATTGTTCCTCACCTATTGTCTGTAATGGAGATTTCTTGTAATGGGGAGGAAAAAAAAAACAAGAGAGATGAGGATAACATGATATACACCTACATATTTAAGAATACAAGATTTCAAGAGCCACAAGACTTGTATGTTCTAGTACCAGGTATTAGTTCCCCTAATATCAACTGAATAACTGCCAATTCTATACAAAACATTTCTCTTACCATGAATTCATAAATTTTAGTATTTTCAAGTCACAATAAATTTACAAAAAGGGTGAATTTATTTTATATATAGTCAATCTTCATAAACCTGATCTTAAAAATTAATGGGCCAATCCAACTCAATTATTTTAGAATGAGTGTTTCTCAATTAAAATTTGTTGGAAATAAAATTGCCAATCAAAGCAGTAAAATATAGACTAAAATAGCCCATTACAGGTATTCAATACATGTGTGCTATCTCAAAAAAGAGAGGACTCAAACCAGACTCATGACTTCAACTCTGGATAACAATATTGGTACACTGCCAACATTCACACAGTACAGTATTATATGGCAGGTCACATGTCAGGCACCGTGCTAAGCACACAGGCAATGCAACTTAATTCTGTAAGATAGGTTCTACCTAACCTCTTTTCTGAAGTCAAACTCAGTACCATTTTCTAAACCAGGGTTTCCTAAACTTGATACTACTGACATTTTGTGGATATCCTGCAAACTGTAGCAAACTGAGCTGCATCCCTGGTGTCTCTGGATGCCCACAGGAAACCCTCCACCACTCATCCCATCCCTGTAAATCACACCCTGTGAAAATGCCCTGGGTTCAACAGGGTGGGGATGTCTCCCTATACTGCAAACGGCCCCTGGAGGGCAAAATCACCCCAAGATTGAGACCCACTGCTTAAATTAGAATACAAAGTTCTATAAATTAGGGAAAATCATAGGGTCTGCTAATACATAAATTCAAAGAATTTACATAACTGAAGCACTTTTACAGGAAAAAGCTAACATCCATCAATGTTTTCTTAAAACATACCCCAAAGCAGTAATGCTATATTTATCCTGACTCCCTTCTAGCAGAAGTTTAGATAAGAAAAAGAAAACCCCAGAAATCTGAAAACAGTAAAATCTGCTCCCCCAAATAAAAGCTTGCCAGGAACAGCAGAACTACTTCACCAAACTTTATGATTAACTAGGTTAATACCGAACTGTTATATACGTGTGTGTGTATATATATATATATATATATATATATATATATATTCAAGGGTCTGTGTGTGTGTGTGTGTGTGTGTGTGTATATATATATATATATATATGTTCAAGGATCTACAATTCTTCCATTACCTGAAGGATTTCAGACTCGTCTAAAATACTTTTTAAAAAACACAATAAATCTCAACTGCAAAGTTAAGAGGAAGTCAAAACTCAGAAGTTAAGCTGCTTACAATTCAACCTTTTACTTCAGTCAAAAGAGCTATCTCCTATGAAAACGGAATTCAAGTTTCTATTCTTGTGCGGCATATGAAATAAATTCAGACCTAAACATCTTTAAGGTGGCAAAATTATTTTATTCATATTTCATATGCAAATCTCATTACACAATTAAATGGCCTATCCAATTATTCAGGCCAGTAATGTGTGATTATGAAACCAAAATTAAGTTAAATAGAAAACCATTTTCCTGACTTAAATATTTTGGTTGCTAGATAAGTGACCAAATGTCAAGTGATGCTGACAAAAGATATCAGTTCAAACAAACCAAGAGTTGAGCAGCACTCAGCGTCTTTGCCTCCAGGTAAACCTAGGCGGGTTTAGCAGCCCAGACTCAAATTCCTGTGACTCCACCCCGACCTGAGGCCAAAAACTGCGCTACTCCGCCGCCAATCCTCACAACTCAGCCTGGACCCCTTCCGGAAGGGCCGGCACGGCCCCGCCCACAACACCGCGACCCCCTGGCCCAGCCGTCCTCCGCGGAGGGGCGGAGCCGAAGCTCACCTCGGCCAGACCCTGGGGCTCGCGGCCTCCCCCGATCAGCCATCGCAGCATGCGGACGGCGACGGCGTCTCGCCCGGGCCAGGCCCTGGCCGGCCGGACTAGGCCGGCCTCAGCGCACCGCAGACGCGAATACCAGCCCCAGATCTGCCCACCGGTCGTAAGCGTGTAGGGGGCTGGACTGTGTTCCCTGTCCAGCCACGGAAGCTTGGTTTCGGGAGCCACGCAGAGGGCTGGAGTGGCAGCCCACCTCTCGAGGCGCGCGGCTCCGAGTGAGCACGCGCGGGGCACCGCCCATCAAAGCAGGAGCGGGGGAGGGGGGAGCGGCCCCTAGTGGCCATGTGCGGCGCAAGCACCGCCGCCCCGCCAGCCTTCGTGCTTCAGGCGTAGTGCGCGCCCCAGGTTCGAAGGTTTTTAGATCCTTCGCTGGTAGCAGATGGGGACCAGGAACCCTCCTCAGTCCCTCCCTAGTTTCCCAAAAGCTGGCTGGAGAAGAAGGTGTATTGCAGTAGACAGCATCTGAATAAAGCTGGTGGCATGTCTGCAGACCAGAATAAACCTGGCCAACATTTACTGTATTAGAGTCCCAAGGCTTTACATAAATCTTCATAGTAACCCCATAGCTCCTATTTATAGACAAAGAAACGGAAGCTCTGAAATATTAGGTAATTTGTCTAAAGATAACAGGAAATAGCCGTGGAATTGGAACCCAGTCTTCAAGCTCCAAAGCTAGTTACAGTGAATGTTATTTGAAAAGTAGAAGCCCTTCATAGTTTCTTTTCATGCTAGGGGCTGAACCCAGGGCGTTGTGCATACTAGGCAACCATTCTACCACTGAGCTACATTTGCAGGCCCAAATACTTTGACTTTTAAATTTTCACAGCCAGTCAAAGGTCTGTGGTTCTCCACGCTAGCTGCATTTCAGAATTACCCAAGTAGCTGTTGAAGAATGTAGGTTGATTTACAAAAACAGTCTCTGTGGTTGGAAGATAGGAATCAAAATTTAGGACAAGTCTGTTGGGTGATTCTGATGAGCAACAAGGTTTGAGAATCACCTGTGTAGGGACTACTTACACAATATTCACCCATATATATTTGTAAATAAATTCCTGTAGGGAACATGTGCAAATGTCCCATCCAATTCATTAGTTCAGCAAACATGTATTGGGCGTAGATATATTATAGAGGCAAAAATGAAACACGGAAAATCACTGCTCTCTAGGATAAGGCAGAAGGTGCTAGGCACTGTAACAGAGAGCCACACATGCTACTTTAAGGTATATGGCTGTTAAGTGCTGCCCGTATTGGTCACGTTTTCATCACTATGACCAAAATGCCTGTCATACACAACTTTTAAGTGTTTAAGGAAATGATTTATTTGGTTTACAGTTTCATAGGTTTCAGTCCATAGTAGGCTGGCTCCACAGCAGGAACATCATGGCAGAAGGGCGTGGTAGAGCCAAGTTGCTCACTTCATGATGGGTAGGAAGCAGAAACCAGCAGACCAGTGCTAGTGAGAAAGAAACCCTCCAAAGGCACAGCCCCAGTGACTCACTTCCTAATGGCACATTCAGCTTTGAACAGCAACAGGTTAATCCTGTCAAGTCAACAATTAAGCTTAATCATCACACTGCCCAATCAGTCCTTGGAGAACAAGCATCTCCTGTGATTCATGTTGTAGTCAGTTTGAGTGTCTTGCAGGAGAAAGTTGCCTTCTGTGTACTAGCTCAGAACTGCAGTCTGCATGCAGTTGAAGACAAACCAAAAGAGAGACTAACCCCTGGGAAGATAAGACTTACCTTTTGTGAATCAAACTACAGAAGCACAGGGATTTCAGTTCTGAAGAGTACCTTCAAGTGAAGCAACAAGGTTGCCCAAATAAGATAGCCTAAATTTTATCCTGAATTTCCATATTCTTTGAAGGTTTGTTCAGTGTCACAAAACTCAGACCTAAGGATCATTCTACTGGTCTTTTAAAACACTGGCTCAGGGATGAACACTTCCTCCCTTGGTTCCTCTTACCAGAATGTAGAAAGAACTTTATAAGAGTGATGTCAGAGAAGTTGGAGAAGTAGAAGCACCAAGAATTCATCTCTGCACCTAGGGAACAATTACACTGGCAGAAACTGTCTGAAGAAACTCTTTTGGAACTCTGCAGTCTTTAAAACTTACAAGTTTCCAGGAGAAATCTTAGCTGGCACAGAGGCCGGTCACCAGTGTTTCAACCCTCATGAGCTGAAGAAATTTTAAGGAAACTTAAAACTATACTGCCTTTCCCCCCTTGCATTTCTCTCCCTTTGGGGAGGCCCACCGCTTAAAGATTAGGACATGTAAAAGCAACCATATACATGGGGGGATTTAGGAAGTTAATGTACACATCTAGGGAAAGTCACAGATTCAGAACAACCCAGAAGACCTTAAACTCTCATAGTTCAAGCAATCAAAAAAATAGTTGCCATATTGTAAGATTCAAATGTCCAGGTTTCATCAGAAAGAGAGGAAAAAGAAAAATCACAAGACGTACAAGGAAGGAGAAAAGTATGGCCTACTGGAAGGAACAAAAAACAAAATTAATCACAAGAAACCATCCCTGAAGAATCTCCAACATTAGAGTAACTAGACAAAGATTCTATGTCTTAGAGATATACAAAGAACTATGAGAACACATATAGAACAAAATGAGAAAATGAATAGACAATTCTGGAGCAACAAAACATAAAATCACAAAAATTCAAGAGGAGATTTGAGCAGACAGAAGAAAAAACTCAGTGAAAATAAGGTAGTTGAAGACAACAACTGAAATGATTAAGTCTCAGGAACTAAAAAAAGAAAATAAGAATGAAAAAGTTACTGAAGCCTAAGGGTCCTATAGAAGGCCATTAAGTAAATCAACATACGAATTTTAAGAGTCTCTGAAGGAAAAGAGAGGGACAAAATAAAATTTGAAGAAATAATGGCTGAAAATTCCCAAATTGGATAATAGATATAAATCTATAATCCAAAAAGCTCAATGAACTTCAAATAGAATAAAATTAAGGACATCCACATTGAGACAACACTTTGTTGAAGATAATGACTACACTTGAAGCTTAAAAGCAGCAAGAGAAAAGTAACTCATCCCATAGAAGCAATCTCATCAGAAACTTTAGAGGCCAAGACAGGTGTGGCCATGATCCAATTATATGCTGTCCACAAGAGACTCACTTTAGATCCAGAGACACAAATAAATCAAAAGTAAAGGAAGAGAGATATTCCATGCACATAGAAACCAAAACAGAGCTGGAGCAGCAGTACTAATATCAGTCAAAATATGTTTTAAATCAAAAAAGTTTACAAGAGAAAAAGACATTATATATTTTTAAAAGGTTCATTAAAGCAAAAGGATACAATAATAATAAACATTTACACACAATAATAGACCTTCAAAATACATGAAGTAAAAAGTTAGTTTTACAATAGTTGCAGACTTCAGTACTCCACTTTCAATAATGGATAGGACAAGACAGAAGAGAAATAAGGAAAGAAAGAATTTGAGCAATACAATAAACTAATTAGACCTAACAAACATATACAGCACACTCTACCACACAGCAGAATAGACATTCTTCTCAAGTACGGATAGGACATTCTCTTAGATAGACTGTTAGGCCAAAAAACAATTCTAGATAGATTTAAGTATAAATGTATCATTCAAAGTATCTTCTCCAACCACAACAGGATGAAGACAGGAAACAGTAACAGAAGAAAAACTGGAAAATTAACAAATATGTTGAAATTTAATAAAACACTCAATCAATGTGTCAAAATAGCAGAAGAGAAATTATAAAATATACAGACATGAAATGAAATCACAACATACCAAAACCCTAACTTAACCCTAATTCAGTAGAAGCAGTATTCAAAGGAAGATTTGTAGTATAAATGTCTACATTAAAAAAGAAGATATAGGGCCGGGGATTTAGCTCAGTGGTTTCACCACCTGCTGCGCAAGTGCAAGGACCCAAGTTCGATCCCCAGTACCAAAAAAAAAAAAAAAAAAGAAGGTATAAAACCAATAGCCTAACTTTATACCCCCAAGGAACTATAAAGAGAAGAGCAAACTAAACCCAAAGGTAATGGAAGGAAATGAGCCACAGAAATTAACCAAAGAGACAATAGAAAAAAACAGAGAAAATAAATGAAATCGAAGTTTGGACCTCTAAAGAGATGAACAAAATTGATAAACCTTGAGCTAGACTGATAAGGAAAAACAAAAAGTGCACATAACTAAAATGAAAAAAATGGAGTTGAGGACATTACCACTGAGATAAAAGTGTGGTGATAATATGAAAAATGATTTACAAATTTAAAAACCTAGAAGGAATGGACAAATTCCTTGAATCACAAAAATTACTTGACTCAATAAGAAATGGAAAATAGGCAGCAGGGTCATCTTCCGCAGGAGGACTGGCTCTGCAGGTGCAACCGGCACCAGTGCCCCTCGCCCGGGCGGCCGCATGGCGCAGCGACCTCTGGGCCCCTTGATGCTGGAGCTGGATGGCCGTGGCCCTGCTTGGCTCAGTGCTCTTCATCCTCTGGAAAGCCTACTTCGGGAGTGGACAGGAGCGGTGCTAGGACCGCGGGAAGGCCTGGTGGGGTGCAGAGCCCGTCTGCCTCCCTCAGTGGGAAAGTGGGATGAGTGTGAGCCAGAGGAGGATGAGGAAGAGGAAGAACCGGCTCTGGAGGAGCTGGAGCAACGTGAGATGCTGGTGCTGGGGCTGGATGGCTCTGGGAAAAGCACTCCTGCATTTCCTGTCAGGGAAGACACTGCTGGAAGGCCACGTCCCCACCTGGGCCTTCAACTCCGTGTGGCTGCCCACCAAAGACTTCGAGGTGGGCCTCCTAGAAATTGGTGGCAGCCAGAACTTGGGCTTCTACTGCAAGGAGTTTGTGAATGAGGTGGATGTACTTCATGGTGTTCCTGGTGGGCTCAGCTGACCAGCTGTGGCTGCCCTGGGCCGGACAGGAGCTGCACAAGCTGCTACACAAGGATCCTGACCTGCCTGTCATCATAGTGGCCAACAAGCAGGACCTCAGCGAGGCCATGAGTGTGGTAGAGCTGCAGCAGGAGCTGGGCCTGCAGGCTGAAGAGAGCCAGCAGGAGGTTTTTCTCTTGGCAGCCAGCATCACCCCTGCAAGATCTGGCTTTGAAGAACCTGGCACCGTGCACATCAGAAAACTACTCTTGGAGCTTCTCTCTCCTAGGCT